GAAAAGGGTCAGACATGATTGAAGGGACTTGGCATGCACACAGTGTTTATGGAACTAGAATTTGGGAGTTTTTCCACGTTGGATGAATAATTCAGGAAGACTTCCAAAAAAAAAGTTTGTATTTACAAAATATATTAGGCAGAAAGCAAAATCCAATGAACAAATTCAGCAAAGATTACAATTTCTAAGCTAAGTTTGCTCTTTTTTGAAAAACCAAAATATTCCTTGGACAGTGACACTGCCTCTAGACCTCAATACACTTCATTTCTTCTGGCTCATCTCAAGTCTTGTCACATTTGTTATTTATTGACTAATTTATGTATTTGTGACTTAAAAAAAAAGAAAAAAAACCTTCTATCACTAGGAGGAAATACCTCACAACGTTAAAACTAGTAAGAAAAGCGATTAATTTTTTTCCATTAAATTTCTTCTGTTTTCTCAACATTGTTTACAATGTGCATGAGCTCTTTACCATGGGGAAATATTACACACTTTAAAGATAAGCTGCACCTCCTTGCTTGGTAATTGTTTTCTTTAATTCCATATCTCTCAGGAAAAGCAGGGATTCCATTCCTCCCCAAGATGTGTCATAAAAGAAAATAAAGAGGAATATAGATCATGGGGCAGAGAAACAAGTGAAAATCAAGAATCTTGTGGTCTCCGCTGTGGGCCTTGCAGAGCCTCAAAGACTTCCCCCAACACATGTATTAACCACAAAGGGAGAGATAATGACTTGACAGTGGAGAAATCTCACAGACACAGCCTTAAGTGCTCAAGGCCAGCTTCACCAGTAATAAGACATGCCAGCACCATGACCTTCTTGACGAGACGCACCCAGGAGGACACAGCATCATCTCTGGGGATGTTCCTGCCCCGAATGAGCGACCCTAGACAAGTCACTTGGAGGGACATTCTAAACGACTGACCAGGACATGTCACAGTGTCCAGGTCATCATGGAGAAGGAAAGACTGAGGACCTGTCACTGGAGACTAAGGAGACACAAGGACAAGATGCAACATGGGATTCGAGAACAAAGGACGTCAGGGGACAAGCTGGTGAAATGTGCATAAGGTCAATAGTTCAGGTTAATGGAACAGGACTGATTTCCCGGACTTGATCACTGCATGTTTGGTAAGATGTTGACATTCACATGGGTAATGAGCACAGGGGAATTCTTTATATTTTTTTTTGCAACTTTTTTTTTAAAGTGTCTAATAGTAACTCAAAAGGATTTTGAAAACCCAGGTTTTAGACACAGTGGAAGTTGACAGAGAAAATAAGTGAGCCATAGGCCTTCTGGGTGGAAGCAGGGAGGGTGGGGTGGAGGAGAGGAGGGGACACCAAGGTGATACTCTGACCCAGAGCCATGAGGCTGGTCCTCGAGCTGGGACCTGAGCCAAGAACAAACATCCTATGACGTCACGGGTACCTCAAGTGTGGGGATCCATTGATCTCTCTGCATCATTGCCCCCTCTGCTCCTGGGGAAACTGAGGCTGGGGCCTGACACGAATGGCCCAGGACCACATGGTAGTGAGAGCCAGGCCTTCAGAGCTGCACTGACTGGCCCTACACACCAGCTATTTTATGGCTTAGTACTGCAGCTTGGAGAAGGGAATGGCAACCCACTCCAGTATTTCTGTCTGGAGAATTCCAAGGACAGAGGAGCTTGGTGGGCTACAGTCCATGGGGTCGCAGAGAGTCAGACCCGACTGAGCATCTAACACACTGTGGCTTCCAGCTAATCTGGCCACCAGGAGCCACTGTGGGGGGCTGGAGGGTGGCGCGGGGAGCAAGGAGGGTGTCCCCGAAGCGACCTGCTTGGCGTGGCTGCCCAGCACTGTCTGCTCAGCGCCCCCACCCCCAGCCCCGGCTGCTGCACCGCTGCTAAGCCATTTCCGGTTTAGCTTCTCAGCTTTCACCAGCAGGGAGAGCGATGTAACTCCCAGTGAAATCTTACAGTACTTTCTTTTCCCAGGTGGGTTCCGACTACACATGCTTCCGGAATCCAAAGGACTGTGGTTACAATGCCTCATAGTCGCCACATGCCATTGAGGTGCCTGGGGCTAGGCGAGGGCTCTGCACAGGTTATTTCATTTTATCTCCCAAATACCCTTATCCTTTAGGCCTGCTGTTCTTTCATTCACTGGTGGCTCAGACGGTAAAGAATTTGCCTGCAATGCGGGAGATCTGGGTTCAATCCCTGGGTTGGGAGTGATCCCTGGAGAAGGGAACAGCCACCCACTCCAGGACTCTTGCCTGGAGAATCCCATGTACAGAGGAGCCTGGTGGGCTACAGTCCATGAGGCTCACAAAGAGTCAGACATGACTGAGTGACTTTCACTTTCTTTCACTCACAGAGGAGGAAACTAAAGCTCACTATTAGGTTCCTGTGACCAGGGAGCTGGGCCACTAAAGGACAGCCAGCATGCGAATCTCCTGTGTCTGTTTTCAGGGCTTATATTCCTAAAATAAGTTAAAAATGGTTCTTTACAAGTTGAGGATTCTAACCCATAGGTATTGACAGGTATCCACTATGGAGTAGGGTTAAGGCCAGTGGTTGTCAGTCAGGGTGGTCTGCCCCCCAGGTGACACATGGCAAGGTCAGGAGACACTGCTAGCTGTCACAAGTGGAGTGCAGGACAGGCTCCTGGCCTCCGTGGGTGGGGGCTGAGGATGCGGCTCAGATCTCGGGGAGCCCCCACGATCCCCAGGAGGAAGGATCTGGTCTAAAAGAGCAGCAAAGTCGAGGCTGAGGAATCCTGCTTAAGAGCAGTGTTTAAAAAACAGCACAGAAAAGGTGCACCCATATAATGAGGTTAAGTTGAGTTTTCAGGAAGCTTTTATTTCAATTATCTGTGTATGTAATTCTGGTCTCCGTAAGAATTACTTGGGGAGTTTGATACTTTTATTTTTAAATTTACTTTTTATCGGAGCACTTGATAAAAATGCAGATACTTGGGGTTGGAGATTCCTGGAGCTCTGCCTGGTTACCTCCCCACCAGCCAATTAGAAGAAAGTCACGCACCCTGCAGCCTCCACCCCAAATTTTGCCTATAGAAACTTTCCCCTGAAAGTCTTCGAGAGGTTGGGGGCAGTTTCTGACCATGAGCCACCCATTCTCCTTGCTTGGCCCTGAAATAAACCTTTTGCTGCTTAAAAAAAAAATTCAGATGCCTATATTTCCCATCCAAAATTGTGAGGGTGAGTCTAGAGTCAAATTCAAGAATCTGGATTTTTAACAAGTACCCCTTGAGGCTCTGGTCCTGGTGGATCACGGACTTGGCTTTGAGAAACACTGGACTAGATGCGCTTGAGGTTCGGTGGCCGGAAGATCTGTGGCCACCGAGAGAAGGATTTGACATTCCCTTTGTGCAGGGCATCACATGAAGTGTTTCTCACATGTTATTTCATCTGTCATAACGTACAGGTTCCTTCATTAGCATGTTAAACAGATGTTAATGTTTGTTTATTTTTACATTAATGGGAGAGTCATGATTGCATCTTGTTAAAATGATCCTCTAATAACAATCTAACAGGTCTCAGACACCTTAAGGTATTTTGGGGACCTTAAGAAGAGTGGAATTTGCCCAAATTTTTAAGTAGTACAGATGAAATCTGGGGGAGAAAGCTTGTTGGGCATGGCTTCAGTACCTTGTGATAACATATACCAGACTTTTAAAAGTCCAAACTGAGGTTCCTTACAGAAACTTCCAGCAAAGCAAACTCAAGAATGTCTATGAGGTGAATTAGCAAGTGTGCCACACCTGTGTAAATGATCAGACCTCCCACCCAATCGGACAGGACCACCCTCATTTCATGCAAAAAATATCTTTCATTGAAATTATGAGGCTTTGGGGGAAATTTGTGCATCAGTGGAAAATTGGGCTTTGTTGGGAGCACGGCCTTTCCAGTTATACCATTCTAGCCTCTTGTTGCCTTTGAGCTGCTTTCATAACTCTGCACAGGTAACAGAACAAGGCAAAATAGTTCTAGCCTGTAGACCTGTTCTTGCTTTCTCACCATGTAAATTAATACAGATAAGTAAGCAATTTCTCCAGGTTTGCCTCCATGTATGCATTCATGTCAATACTCCTGACCTACAGTCTTCTAGAATCTTCTTTGGGTTCCCTTGCAAACTGGTTATAAGATCTTACTGGTTCCTGGGTTAATGGGTTAAGCAAAAGCTTGAACACGCGTTCATTTTATATCTTCATGAAAGAGTTTTATTTCCTCTGTTTTGATCTTAAGCAAATCTCCCTGGTCATTGGTATTATAATCTGTGGGCTCCAGTCTGCAATTTTATTTACTTATTTTTTTAAAATTTATTTTACTATTTTGTTTGGCTGTGCCAGGTTTTAGTTGTGGCACTCGGGATCTTCAATCTTCATTGCGGCATATAGGATCTTTAGCTACAGCACATGGGGTCTAGTTCCCTGACCAGAGATCAAACCTCGCCCCCTGCACTGGAAGTGCAGATCTTAGCCACTGGACCACCAGAGAAGTCCCCAATTAGCAATTTTAAAAATCACATAGGAAATAACTAACCAGCATTGCATGTAATAAAAGTAAGCATTATTTTATGAAACTTCTATTTGCATTATATTTGTATATTTGTTCTAGGTGGATTTCAATTTTTCTCTCTTTTTTTTTTTTTTGGATGATCACTGTTTGGAGGTAAATACTTGGGCCCTAATGTGTTTGTTTTATAATATTTTATCTTCACTCAGTAAAGAGTGACTGGAGTATTTTTAAGTCAGGCAGATGTGAATGGAAAGTGTGAGAACCTCACAGTTTACGGTTAATCGCTCTCTGATGCTCTTTTCCTCCCCTCCCAAATCGAGGTACAGAGCAAATCTGAGTGCAATACTCAGCTTGCCTGCTCTGATAAACCCAACACCCAAGAGACATGTAATATTACATGCAAACTGTTTTCAAACACCAGTGGGTCCAAGCCCTAAGATCCCCACTCAGCTGCTGATGGAGGAGCAAGAGAATTACCTTCATAGACAAGTGAGAACCACCTTCACGGTTCACCAACACCCATCATCAGCGCTGGCTTGCAGGGTGGGAGACCAGGGGCAAATCCCATCACTTCTCTGGACTGATTTCACCTGGGAAACAGGGAAAGTGGTGAATGAGATATCATATGTGAAATTCTTCCATAAACTGTGAGTCATCACATAAGAGAAGAGGGCGACAGAGGATGAGACAGTTTGATGGCACCACTGACTCAATGGACATGAATTTAAGCAAACTCATGAAAGAGTTTTATTTCCTCTGTTTTGATCTTAAGCAAATCTCCCTGGTCATTGGTATTATAATCTGTGGGCTCCAGTCTGCAATTTTATTTACTTATTTTTTTTTTAATTTATTTTACTATTTTGTTTGGCTGTGCCAGGTTTTAGTTGTGGCACTCAGGATCTTCAATCTTCATTGCGGCATATAGGATCTTTAGCTGCAGCACATGGGGTCTAGTTCCCTGACCAGAGATCAAACCTCGCCCCCTGCACTGGAAGTGTAGATCTTAGCCACTGGACCACCAGAGAAGTCCCCAATCAGCAATTTAAAAAATCACATAGGAAATAACTAACCAGCATTGCATGTAATAAAAGTAAGCATTATTTTATGAAACTTCTATTTGCATTATATTTGTATATTTGTTCTAGGTGGATTTCAATTTTTCTCTCTTTTTTTTTTTTTTGGATGATCACTGTTTGGAGGTAAATACTTGGGCCCTAATGTGTTTGTTTTATAATATTTTATCTTCACTCAGTAAAGAGTGACTGGAGTATTTTTAAGTCAGGCAGATGTGAATGGAAAGTGTGAGAACCTCACAGTTTACGGTTAATCGCTCTCTGATGCTCTTTTCCTCCCCTCCCAAATCGAGGTACAGAGCAAATCTGAGTGCAATACTCAGCTTGCCTGCTCTGATAAACCCAACACCCAAGAGACATGTAATATTACATGCAAACTGTTTTCAAACACCAGTGGGTCCAAGCCCTAAGATCCCCACTCAGCTGCTGATGGAGGAGCAAGAGAATTACCTTCATAGACAAGTGAGAACCACCTTCACGGTTCACCAACACCCATCATCAGCGCTGGCTTGCAGGGTGGGAGACCAGGGGCAAATCCCATCACTTCTCTGGACTGATTTCACCTGGGAAACAGGGAAAGTGGTGAATGAGATATCATATGTGAAATTCTTCCATAAACTGTGAGTCATCACATAAGAGAAGAGGGCGACAGAGGATGAGACAGTTTGATGGCACCACTGACTCAATGGACATGAATTTAAGCAAACTCAGGGAGATGGTGAAGGACAGGACGCCTGGCATGCTGCACTCTTTGGGGGTCACAAAGAGTCCGACACGACTGAATGAACAACAAACATCACATAAGAACAGGAAGTACATTGTCCAGGCCCAGGAGGGGATCCGAAGGGTAGAAAGGGGAGGTGCAAAGGTCCTGACCTTTGAAAAAGGTCCTGGATGATTCTAAAAGCTGCCCGCCCCCCACTAGGACGTGCCCACTGACTGGCTCATGGGCCCTCCTATGATCTGTATGTAGTCTCCAAGTGTGCACACGGGCATTAGTGCTGGGAGAGGCGAAGGTGGCAGTGATCCCCCCAAAGATTAAGGATTCTGTTCCGAAGCAGGGCTTCTTAACCTCAGCATCGCTGACATTTTGCACCAGATAATTCTTTGTCATGGGGGCTGTCCTGTGGAATGAAGGATGTTCAGCAGCATCCCTAGCCTCTGCCTGCAAGATGCCAGTGCGTGCTCAGTCATGCCCGACTCTTTGCGACCCCATGGACTGTAGCCCACCAGGCTCCTCCGTCCATGGAATTTGCAAGCGAGAATACTGGAGTGGTTTGCCATTTCCTCCTCCAGGGGATCTTCCCGACACAGGGATCGAATCCGAATCTCTTGAGTCTCCTGCATTGGTAGGCAGGTTCTTTACCACCAACGCCACCTGGGAGATGCCAGTCGCATCCCTCAAATCCTGACAACCCAGGTTTGCTGNAAGGGACTGGGTCTGGGAACTCAGTTGTGGCATGCAGGATCTAGTTCCCTGACCAGAGATTGAAACCAGGCCCCCTGCACTGGGAGCAGAGTCTTAGCCATTTGGCCACCAGGGAAGTCCCCCCACCATCTCCTCAACTGCCTTTCTGCCCAGCATCTGGATTCTCCCTACGAAGTACTGACTTCCTAAAGCTCAGCTCAAATCATTTCCTTCTCCAACGACAGTGGAGTCCATCTCCGTTATAAACACTCCACAATCTAGCCTCCAGCTTCCCTAAGTCCTTCTAGGAGCTTTTGGGAGAGGAACAAGGTAAAATTGCCTGAACTGAACTAAGTCTTAGAAATGGTTTTGGCCTGGAAAAGCATTAAAGTCAGAATGATAAAAAAATATACCCTTTCTTTGGAACTGAAGTTTACACGTGATTGATTATCTGTTACTGGAGTTCAGCATCCTCCAAACGCAAGGGGTAATGGTAGCGAAAGTGTGTGTGTGTGTGTGTGTGTGTGTGTGTGTGTATGTGTGTGTGCGTGTGTGTGCTCAATCGCGTCAGGCTATTTTGGACCCCTGTGGTGGTTAAAGCAAGGGCTTCAAACTGGTCAGACTCATTAGGTCCTGAAATCAGTTTAATGGGTTAGCAATAGTCTTTTTCAAAAAATGGAAAGAAGAGAATAGACTAGAACAAGATAGGATAGAATTTGAACCCAGGTAGAATAGATCTGACTGCGTCATGTGAGGTTGGGGTAAGAATCTCCCTTTAAACTTCTCTCTCAGTAATAGGCATCTACAGGCATGTCAGATATATTTCTCACTGTAGGTTGAGTCTAAAAAGTTTGAAAGCACCAACAGGCAATATATATATTCAGCAGTGGAAGCAGGTGTAACTACAGCAAAAAGTGCAAGGTCACTGGACCTCCGGAGCTGCAAAGTCGGGATGGGGCTGGGGTGGATGCCAGGGCGGGGGCAGTGCTGGGTGGGGCGGACACGATCAAGGAAAGGCAAGCCCATGTGGGGCTCCCTGTCTTGGGGTGTCGGGGCTCAGTCCCGGGGGGTCGGGTGGGCTGCGGGGGAGGAGGAGGAAGGAGGATGCGAATCGCAGGTGAAGGACAAGGGGGCGGCCTGATCGAGGGACGTAGAGTTCGAGGACACCCCACTCCCCAGCATCAGCAGCCCTGGGGACCCCCGGGAGAGCCCGGCTTGGGGCGCAACCACGCCGAGGGACCCGAGACCCTCCCCGATCCGCTGGGGCCCGTCCTCACCGGGCACCGGCCGGGCGGCGACAACAGCGGGGCCCTCCCTCTCCGGAGACCGAGCCTCGCGGCGGGTCCTCTGGCCTCGGGCCGCTGCAGCCACAGGCGTCGACCTCGCGGCCCAGGCGCCTCCGGCCACCGCAACCCGGGTGTCCACTCCCCGCCCCCACCTGCCCTCTCGGGAGCGAGCCCCGTGTCGCGCGCGCCGCCCCGCTGGCCGTAGGGAGCGAGCGCCGCCCCGCCGGGGAGCCAGCCTCTAGCAGCGCACTCGCGGGTTCCTCTCGAGCATGCGCAGCAGGGCCGCAGGGGCTCCATTCTTCGGACAAACTCCGCTTCTCCGGGTCTTCAGTGCGCGGCGGCTGGCGGCCTGACCAATCGGCGCGGGGAGGCGGGGCCAGGGTTCGCGAAAGAGGCGGGGCAAGCCCAGGATTGGGCGGCGACGCCCGCTTAACGAGAGTCACTCAGACCTGAGACTTGGACTGGAGGTCCAGTGCGGTGACGCTGAGAGAGAGCTGGGGGGGCCTTGAGACTTCCGAACCGCCCCAGGATTTGATTCTGCGCTAATTGAGCGGAAGCGATCGTTGAAGTGCATCCTTAGGCCCGTCACTTTCCTTAGGCTGCGGAAGGAGATTTCTTCTGCACGTCACTGAGAGGTAAAATGACCAACCTCAAAGTTGGGCCAGTTTGGTTCAAATTAAATAATGATAATAACAGGTTGTAACTGAGTAAAACAAGAACCCATGACCGATAGTGATGTAGATAAGTAAACGGAGAGATGAGAAGTCTCTTACAGTAGGATGCCGACTAATAAATGAAGAAGGAATGAAACAGAAAATCACCATTTGGCGACCATCGTTAAGTAATAGGATGGACTTCCCCGGTGGCTCAGACGATAAAGCGTCTGCCTACAATGCGGGAGACCCGGGTTCAATCCCTGGGTTGGGAAGATCTCCTGGATAAGGAAATGGCAACCCACTCCAGTATTCTTGCCTGGAGAATCCCATGGAAGGAGGAACCTGGTAGGCTACAGTCCATGGGGTCGAAAAGAGTCGGACACGACTGAGCAACTTCACGACGACGACATTAAGTAATAACTGATTTGGACAAAAATAAATGGCCTCTAAGACCGGAGGGTGAAAGTTAACAAGGAACTAGTATTTGCATATTCCCAAATTACATATTTCTCCACAAGATATTAATTGCAAGAGGGAAAATATTTATTTTACAGTAGAGAAACGGTCCTCAAAGTCTCTGGGGTTTCTGGAAGTCCTCTTGGGATATTCCAAAGGTTATATGCCGTGTACCAGGTTGAATGCTGAAGCACATATGAGATCGTGTAGTGCTCCATTTACCTACATTAAAGAGATTTACGCCCCCTCCCCCCAAAAAGTAAAACGCCATTTTTATAAAATTTGTTTTGGAAAATACAATGATTTTCATTAAAATGTTATGCTAACACATACAAGTTTTATTGTATCTTTTTTGGTAACAGATTTATTGGATATAATTCACTTACCATACAATTCACCCAATTAACATGTACAATTGAAACGGTTTTAGTATATTCACAGAGATGCGGATGTAACCACAATCAGTTTTAGAACAATTTCATCACTCCAAAAGAAACACACCTCAGTCCCCCATCCTCCCAACCTAAGCAACTATTAATCTACTTTCTGTCTCTATAGATAGGCATATTCTGGACATGTCACTTAAATGGAATCATACAACCTTTGGTCTTTAGTGTCTGGCTTCTTTCACTTAGCATAGTGTTTTCAAAGTCCATCCATGTTGTAGCATGCCAGCAGTACTTCATTCTTTTTATCATCAAATAATATTGCACTGTATAGACATACCTCAATTTGTTTACCCTTTCATCTGTTGAATAATGTTGGGTTGTTTCCACTTTTGGGCTACTATGAATAGTGCTGCTGTGAACATTCATGTGCAAATT